ATTAAATAATATTATATTTTAGATTCTCACCAGGGGAATGAAGCTAATTTTGCTTTGCTAAACCACAGTATGACATGATTTAGTGCCACTCAAAGCCACAAGTAAGCTATCTCCAGTATTAAATAAGTACTAGTCTATAATACCATCTTTTGGAAAATAAAAAGAACATGGAAATATTTCCCGCTTTAGCAAGAAGATTCAGTTCATTTTAGGATCATTGAAAAATAAGTAGACATAGACCTAATTATTCACTGTAGAGCAAAGTAAATCCTTTTGTTGAGGTGTCCATGCCAAAAATTTCTTCTGGTGCTGTAACATCTTAATAAACCAGAAAGTGCTCTGTATATAAACAATAGGTAGCTAAACTCAATTTTAACTGGCTGAAGGCCAGGAATAACATTTCTTTGTTTTGGAAATTAGCCATTTTTATCATTTTTTTTGACTCTAAGCTCAATAATCAGTATGAATCTGTATAAACTGATCATTACTTTAAACATGAATTATTACATGATTTACTAACTCCAAGGAAGTCTAGCCTGCAGAATTTTTCCAGTTTATTCATTTTGCGGGGGAGGCCCAGCAAACATGCTAACATTGGCACACTCGTAACTGTTGCAGAATTTTATGAAGACTTCCTTCCTCTCTGTTGGTTCCCTGTTGAAGGCACACGAGGCAGGCATCGCTGTTTTCCCCTCGTAAAAACTGTCGTGCTCAGCTGGGAATGCAAAGACCAGTGGTGTTACAGAAATTCTGCCTGACTATCCAATTGCTACTAAGCATCTTAACTGCATAGAAACAATTGATATTCGTTGAAAATAAAGGCAAAGTGCAATGGCCAGGTAGGCATGCGTCACGTGGGGAAATTAACAAAGGAAGCCAGGCGCAGAGGCGAGCGGGAGCAGCCCAGGGACGTGGGGGTGCCACATGAGACAGCATTACAGTACCTGACAGCCTGTGAGAGCAAGAGGTGTAAGATAGACCAGGGAAGAGAGCGCTCACGGTGTGGAGGAGAAGCGGGACGCTTTTAGTGGCGGGCAAAGCCTCAGAGAGGTGGGCACAGCTGCTGACAGACTGGCTTCGCTTAGCTTCCAGGAGAGATAAAGCAACAATCATGTCAGAAGAACCGCAGGATCTTTCACTTCCTTTTCATTATTATTATTTTTCTGGTCTCTCTTTAAATATTCAAAGGAGGTCATTTCAAACTTTGAAGGAAGTTAGCACAAAGCACAGTATTTAATGATAGTCTCTAAATACAGCCAACTTTCAGTCATTCTGATGGCATGGGAGCACAGGCCTTTCACAAATAATCAATCTCATTTTATAATGCTTTGTATGTTGAGCCTTTCCTTTTTTTCTGCTGTGTATCAGATTCACATTTAGCTTGTTTGTTTACTTGGGCAGACATTACAACCAGTTTTCTCTTCCTAATGGGTCCAAACAAAAAGGCCATGGTGAGGGGCTTCCCTGGTGGCGCAGTGGTTGAGAGTCTGCCTGCCGATGCAGGGGACACGGGTTCGTGCCCCGGTCCGGGAGGATCCCACATGCCGGGGAGCGGCTGGGCCCGTGAGCCATGGCCGCTGAGCCTGCACGTCTGGAGCCTGTGCTCCGCAACGGGAGAGGCCACGGCAGTGAAAGGCCCACGTACCGAGAAAAAAAAGAGTAAAAAAAAAAAGGCCACGGTGAGGGACGGAAAATCTAACCTAAGATTAAAATGGTTTCATAAATAATCAATAATTCAAAACCTGGTTTACTGAGAGATGACTGCATTCAGAAGCACATCGCTTAGTAAACTGAAGAGCCTGAAAGCTCCAGAACACGTAAGAGTCAAGCTGAACATTCAAGGGTCTGATATTTGGGAAAAAGGTAAAAAAATCTCCATGAAACCCATCCTTTTGAATCACATTTCGGGCTTATTAAATCCACAGTTTCTTAGTACAAAATTTATGGTGTTCTTAAGTTTCTATGTACTGCTAGTCAAAACCATTTGAGAAAATGGATGGACACAGGAAGAGAGTAGGCCTCATACATATGAAACCACCATCAGTAAAACCAGTTTTATCCTTAAAACAAAAATATGGAGGTTTACTTGCTGTACTATTTTCACATGATTTTATTTAACATTAACGGAATACAACTACAAACGGTAGTGACACATTTGCAAAAGGCAAAACAAACTTTTTACTTTCCTGTCTTCCCCCACTCTGTATCAGAATTCCCAGCTCTACAGAACTGTCTGCAGAAGTGATTACAGCATAATCACAAACGTATAAGATACTATTTAGGTGAAAACGACTTCTGTGTAAACATCAAACTGACTGACTTCAAATTTCCTAAAAGATTTGTCTAATGCTCAATGTTAGGGACATTTCATTTGAGTGTTGCTTTTAAAACGTTTTCCTCTTGGGCTTTCCTGGTGGCGCAGTGGTTGGGAGTTCGCCTGCCGATGCAGGGGACACGGGTTCGTGCCCCGGTCCAGGAGGATCCCACATGCCGCGGAGCGGCTGGGCCCATGGACCATGGCCACTGGGCCTGCACATCCGGAGCCTGTGCTCCACAGCGGGAGTGAGAGGCCCGTGTACCGCAAAAAAAAAAAAAAAAAGAAAAAGGAAAAAGGTTTTCCTCTTATAATTCAAATAATTGTGCATTTTTCCAAAATTGATGACTAGATATTTTAGAGATAATATAGATTATTTTGTGTGAAAATTAATTGACTTGCTTTAACCATTCACTTTAGACATGTAAAGTTTTAGCATCATTCATACTCAGGAATGGAGGCTGACTCTGTCATTCTTAAGACTCCCCCTGCCAGTCCTTTTAAGGTGCAAACGAGTACATTCTCTGTTAAATTAATTGTCACTCCCCTACTCCACAATTGCTGATTTTATATTTCCCTCTTGCCACCATCACTGACAGTTTCTCAGTCTAAGTGTAGTCTGTGGGGCAAATTATAATAGAATAATCTTAAAATATTCTCTTACTGAGATTAGAAAAAAAAGTCACTTTCAAATGGGTCTTCCATAATAAAAAATCTTCATGATAACAGTGCACAAACTAATGTCATGAGCTGCTTCCTGTTCTCTCATTAAAAGGTGGCCTCTACACAACCAAAATCTACCATAAAAATGTTCTGGGCCTTCTTAAAAGGCTAAAAATACGTAAAAATAATAGAAGTGAGTAAAAGCTCATGTAGTCTATGTAGATTACATTTATAAAACAGCATGATATAATAAAATATTCAAAAACCATTGTTTTCACAGGCAACAAGAGTCATAATATTCTATAATATTAAAAAATATAAAATAGGAATATATACGTATCCATACATGTATGTGTGTAGAACACATGAAGATAATAGATCTGTCCTACTCAACAGCTCTCATCTTCATTCTCTTTTAAAGGTTATGCTTCCAAGTGTTTTTAACTGAATGAATCCTGCAAAGGCCAGGTTTATGGTGTTGAAGTGACATACTCTACAAGGACCTTTACATGGCTTTGTATTGGGTTGGCCAAAAACTTCATTTGGGTTTTTCTGTAAGATGTTACTTTTTGGCCAACCCAATAAAAGCTCTTAGCTTTGTATGACTTTTCAGGTCCCTGAGAACACTGATAAACAGAACCGCACGGGCATAAAGGCACAGAAGATTTTCTAAAACCTATTGGCGCCTCTACCCTATTGCTGGTCTAGAATACCTCTTGAAAAAGGAAGATGCAATCTCTCCTATGGCTGTGTTTTGGCCAAGTAGTGGCACATGGAACATGCAATATACAATCATTTGCTGCTCGTTAAAATGTGAGAATAAAATTTTAAAAAGTGCTTTGAATGAACACTTTTATCACCTCTGTAATTCAGGGGTTGTGAGGGGCAGCAGGAAGTCTGGGCGGCTCAGGCATGATGCCACCTTTGTCACAAACTTCTCTTCTGATCCCTTTTAAGGATCCAGTGATGGAAGAAAGGTATTTTGGGAGCTGGCATGAGAAAGGAAATGCGTGAATAAGCCTCCCCCAAAGCTGCCTGTTACCAGAAACTAGGTCTCTCCTCAGGGAGAGGAGGAAGCAAGAAGGAGGGTATAAATAAGGTGACAAGGACAAACAAATACTATGGTGAAAACAAGGAGGAGTTAGGGTTGAGGCGTAATATGTTTTCATTAAAACTCCAACAGGATTCTAAGCCGTCTGTAGTAAGCCTTTACTAAGCATTGGAAAAAATGTTGAGTGTCCATGAATCCTTGATTTATGACCGGAGGAAACGTGACCTTCTCTCTGTGGTCAACATGCTGAATATCAATTACAATTGCATGGTATTATTGATGTGAAAAACTACAGGAATCTGAGAAAAACTCATAGGACTCTGTTTTAAACTTAAGTTACAGCCTCAAAGTCACTGGGAAGGTTCGGGGCTTTATTTGTTCTTATTAAAAACTGTATACAAGCTTACTTATTAAAGAGTTCTCTCTTTTTAAGAGTAAACTGTAGCAACAGTTTGATTAACTGGAGGTTCCCTGTCAAGTTCTTGTTAATTCTAACAGCCTGTAAGGTCAACATCTACAGGCATGTAAAGCTCCATTTTCCAAAGAAGCAAAAAATGTAAATGTCTCCTTCCAGTCCTGAAAACTAAGCCCTTATTCTCCTTTTCTTTGCTGGAATAAGTTTCCACCCTCTCTTCAGATCAGCATTGTTCAACAGCAACAACAATGCGACTGGTTGTGTGATTACTAAGAATCTATTTTCTTCAAGGGTCAAACAAAACATCTATTTTCTCTCTTTTGCACAAATATCTCACTCAATATTAACATCTCAAGTTCTTTTTCACAATGAAGGATTTAGAAATAAATGTCACAAACTGATTCGGAAAGTAGTTAGACAGAAAGTTGAAAAGATACAGAGACATCTCAGTTAATAAAAGGCCTGGTGTTTTAAGTTCTGAGTGGAACTTTAAAACTTTAAAAACATTTGATTCTTATAAATCCATTCCTTTGAGAAATACTAGAACACGTGCTTACCGGTTGCTTTCTGGCGGACGATGTTTCTCGCTTTCTCAACTCCCGGCGCCCCGGATGTGGTGGCACTCCTAAATCTCATGGGCTCGGCCACATCGGGGTGGCTCCGCCAGCTCAGAGAAAAGGATCTCCCCACAGTGGTTCCTTTCTGAGAATCTGGAACACAGCCTACGAGACAAGAAAAATAATCCAGAGACTGAATTCATTATTATTTCTTTCATAGCCTGTGCTGCTCAGCAAATGTCATACATAGAATGATGTATATAAGTCAGCAGATTAGGTGCCACTTCCTTATATTACAATTTAGGGAGTTATTCATACATCAGGAATCTGAAAATTCCTGTTGCCAAAGTATTTTTCAAGCATCTTCAACGGTCTCATGAAAATTCACATATCTTCACAGTACTCATTCCAATACACAAAAAAACATTAATAAATCTTCCTCAACATAAGAACAATGTCAAAGGAAGTTACACCACTGCTCCCAGGATACTCCAAAAACTGCTTCTATAAACCAGTAAATTAGAGATCCTGATTTTAGAACAGTATTCCATCCTGTAGACGCCAACCTCTCCATGAATCCCTGAAAGAAAATTTATGCCCATAAACTCTAATTATACTCAAATAAGCAAAGTTAATGAAATTCTACAAACAATACAAAATCCTATTTTAAGCGAAGCTCCAAATAGTAAAATACTGCAGATCTGTGAATCACCTTTTTTCTCCTCTCATACTGCTCTGGACAAGTATTTTAAGTAAGTGGTCAAGGATCAAAAGAAAGAAGAAAAGAGAATGAGGCACTTAGAGGTTTCTGCACATGTACGATGTGGCTGGTGGCTGCCACCTGTGGCTCGCTGTCACACCCAGATTCTTCTGAGAGTGTACTTTGTTTCCACAAATCTAGTGCTTGTACAGCAAATATTTCTATAATGGATATTTAAATGTGTTTTAAGAATAAGGCAATATAATAAATAAATCAGAAATATTTGCCATGGTCATTAATTAAATAGTAAAATTTGTTCTGTATCTTTCCTGAAAATAGCATTTTTTGAAGTTGTTTACCTTCCTAAGACAAGCCCATCTCCCTATGAATCTGTGTTCGCATAGTGGGAGGGAAGAGAATATTTTGGGGGCTGAAGGGGAGGGTGGATTATAAGAATTCCAGGAGGCAGGGAACATGGTTAGTTTGAGAAAGTCCTTACTTTCTGTCTCAGCCACTCCCCTCCATCCTGAAAGGTGCCCCAGTCAGGTAGACTCTTCTGGACTGAGAGCCACAGTCCAGGGAGCCAAGTTCCTGGCTGGACGCACCTAGACCCTCCCAGACTCTGGGTTTACAGAGAGGCCCCCAGAGCTGCTACGGAGGACACTACAGAGGCCCAGGGCTCAGGCTCTGGGCTCCCTGCCCTGACTTCAATCCCAAATCTCCATCTAATATATTTTTTTAGGAAGAGGCTCCTTACAACTTCAACTAGGGAGAAAAAAGGATCTTCTGCTAAAGTATGTGAGAACGTTGCATTAGACAGTCTAAATCTAAACTGGGATTAGACAATTCCACTGGAATGCCCCACACTTCAACTAGTTAGTTTTGGTTTCTCACTGACTTGCTCTTGCTAATCGGTGCCTTGGCAAGCCACTCACAGACTGCAATGAAGACATTCTAGGAATCAGTCACATTAACTAGATGGCTCTGCAGTTAACTAACCATAATTGGTTCACACTTCCCCGTATCCACATCCTCCGTCATCCTCTCCCACATTAACTCTGGGCTTCAGCACATGACTTTTGGTTGCAGAAATGAGCAAGCAGAGATTTGAAATGTACCTGAAAATCTGAGTGTGTCCTCCCCTGCTCCTGGAACCCTAAGCCATTAGGTGAACAGCCTGAGCTAGCCTGCTGGGTGATGAAAGATGTACGGCCCCGTCACCTCTACTGCGCAGCCGACAGCCGGCTAACCCCTGGCAGTGGAGCTGCCGCTCGCTGAGCATGTCACAGCCCTGCTGACTGCGAACGCATCTGTGAGGCCAACACAACTGCCAACCCATAAAATCATGATCTGAATAAATGGGGTTATTTGAAGTCGCTATATTTTGGGGTGCTTTGTCACACAGCAAAGCTAACTGACACCATCTACACTAAGACCACTGTCGAGGTTGTAGTTGACCACAGCAAGTAACATGCTTTTCGTAAGTCTCTGGAGGAAAAATTCCTCACAGGTCCCAGGACCACGACAAGCCAAGCAACTAGCTTGTTTACACCTTTTGATTCTCCCGTGTTACTCTGTGATGATCAGAGTTGAATCTGCGGTGGCCCCCTTCCTGCCTCCCCAGCAGCACCGAGGCTCTTCACTGTGCATCCTGCCATTTTATCCATGCCTGGAGCTCCACCCCTGTTCATTCCGCCCCAGTGTCCTTATGTATTTTATCCATTGTATTATGTGTATTTCTATGAGCGGCCTCAAAATCTTTACACAATAAGCTGGAGCACAGGGAACTAATCCAAGGACTGCGTCACAGCCTTAAAAACAGTAATGAAGACGGGCTGCAGAGTGTCATCCCCAACAGAGACCAGTACTGAGGTTTCCCGCCTTGATCTGACTCCAGGTCTCACAACAATTTTCACCCAGAAACACAAAAAAGCCAGAATGACTCCATGTGAAGCATTCAGAACTTCTCCACCTTCCCGGGGGTGGGGCGCAGCAGAATAGATGATAAATAGTGGGGCGCCTTGAGTGGGGCTTGCCTGGCTTTGATTTCCGGCTTTACCGCTTCTTAGCTGTGTGACCCCGAGTGAGCCAATCCCTGTGGACTCTGTCCTTGAGTTTCTTGGTCTGTGATGTGGGGAGAGTGGCACGGACATCACAGGCTCCCCTGAGGGTGAAGGCAGAGAAGGTGCACCCGGCCCCCGCTGCTATCACTACTGTTCCCAATCCTCCTTCTTCCTTCTTCCCAGCCTGTCCATCATCCTCACTAAGGGGACACAGTGCTAGGAGACGCGATTGAACACCACCGTTAAAAGATACTGTCCGGGGCTTCCCTGGTGGCGCAGCGGTTGAGAGTCCGCCTGCCGATGCGTGGGACACAGGTTCGTGCCCTGGTCCGGGAAGATCCCACATGCTGCGGAGCAGCTGGGCCCGTGAGCCATGGCCGCTGAGCCTGCACGTCTGGAGCCTGTGCTCCGCAACGGAAGAGGCCACAGCAGTGAGAGGCCCGCGTACCACAAAAAAAAAAAAAAGATACTGTCCGTACAGCTGGTTCAGCTGACTATGAAATCCCATGCGTCGACTGCCTGCTGTTTAATACACACTCCTCCCCAGACTCAGACGCCCGGTGCCACCCAGCCAGGCAGCAATACCTTTGCCTCGCTGCTTCTTCTCCTTCTGTTCACTTAATTTGTCCAGAGGTAGGTTTGTCATCTCAACTCCGTACACGGTCCTGGCAAGCACCACCGTCAAGGAGTCCATGATGCTGGCCCACTCGTGGATGAGTTCTTCCCAGTCTGTGAGGGAGGACAGCACCCCAAGGAAGTCGTCCCAGAGCTCCCGAGAGATGTACACGCAGAGGTTTGCACGGATCCAGGCCACTATGAGCGTCTGAAAACGACCAATCAACAGGAGAATTCAATCATCTCCATTTGGAAGAAGTGTACTTTCGACAAAACATTGAAAATCACTATTAATAAAATGAATTTTAACATAAAAAGTGCTTGGGGATACTGTGTTTAATTTCTCAAAATGCGTCTGATCCACCGCAATCAAGATTTGAGCTACTGTGAAATTAGTTATCATTCTGAACAGACACTGATCAAAATGATCCTAGTGTCTGTGGCTGGTCCTGGCGGGACCTGGGGAGCCTATTCGCTCCCTCACGCCCTGCAGGGGCCACTCCGAGCCTTGTCTTCTGCAGGTAAACCTCCAACTCCACCAGCTCCTGCCTGACTGGCAGCAGATGAGCTCAAAGCAGACTTCAGAGCACAGACCCCAGGAAACAATGCCCACCAGGCCTGCATCTGCCCGGCCCCTCCCCCACTGCAGGCCGTGCAGGGAGGGGCCCTGCTCTCCTGCGTGCCCCCCGGCCCTAACCCCTGCTCCCGGCTTCCTCCTCAGACTCTGCATTTCTGTTAACCCCACCTCACCTTGACCCCCTGCCCATCCTACTTCCCCAGCTCCTACCCATCAGCATGTAAACATGATCCAATTCTTCCTTATCTCAAAAAAACCCCACAGAAGTTCCCTTGAGACCTGATGTCCCTTTCGAGCTACAGCCCCTTCTTCCCCTTTCAAAGCCAAATTTCTTGAAAGAATGGCCCACACCGCTCCATCTTCCACACTCACTCCATCCTCTGCCACCCCACCTTCTGCCTAGGTTTTGGTCCCCGTTCTCATGGCTCCAATGACCATCTGCTCACTACTACCCACGTTCAACCCAGACCTCTCAAGATGCTGGTTTCCTGACCCTTCTCTTTGCTCACTCGTAGCCCACGTGCCACGTCCTGCAGGCACCTGCCACGCAGCGTAGTTGTGAAAAGAACTCAGTTTCCTCCACTGAAAGCCCTCAGGCCCTCCACCTGGCCTCTCCTGCTCCCGGCCTCTGCACATACCTTTCCCTCCCTCTCTTTTCCCTCCCTCCTCATTTTGCTTCTTTAACTTCCGCCCACTCTTCAGGTCGCAACTTGGACGTCACTTCCTCCTGGATGTCCCTGATGTCACCCACCCCCAGCCTCCAGGAAGCAGCCTGCATTTCCCCCATTGGAGTTCGTTTCCCTAAGTCCCTCAGTCCCCCTGGTCTCACGGTCCACAGTACTACAGCTGCTTGCAGGGGCAACCCTACAACAAGACAATTATGCATGTATTCTGGGTATTTCCTTACCTCCAAGGTGCCCAGCTCCTTACCTCTGCCAAAATATTCCGCATCCTTTAAAACTCAACTCAAAATGTATCTCCCAGGACTTCCCTGGTGGTCCAGTGGTAAAGAATCTGCCTTCCAACGCAGGGGACGACGGTTCAATCCGTGGTTGGAGAACTAAGCCCGCGCGCCACAACTACTGAGCTCGTGCGCCTCAACTAGAGAGCCCGCGTGCCGCAAACCACAGAGCCCACGCACCCTGGAGCCTGCACGCCACAACTAGAGAAGAGAAAACCCGCACGCCACAACTAGAAAGAAGACCTCACACCACAACAAAAGATACCGCATGCCTCAACGAAGATCCCACGTGCCTCAACTAAGACCCGACACAGCCTAAAACTAAAATAAATAAAAAATAAATCTTTAAAAGAAAAAACAAACAACAACAAAAAACCAAAATGTATCTCCCTTGAAAGAAGTGTCAAGTCCATCTCAGATGAGCCCCAGATGCTTTCCTAATCTTAGTAGAGGGAATCTTTATAGCCAAAGTCTGGGTAACTTCCCTGATCTGTTGTCAGAGCTAAAATGTACCAGGTAAGGTGCCAACTCGCCAATATCTCTGCCCAACCCAGATGCAAATAGGCTCCCACTGCTGTCAGGAGTTGTACTGTGCATGGGATGGGGGTGAATTTGCTTTTTAATTTAGATTAGATTAGGCGGGTTCAGGGTCGTATGGCCGTAGACTGCTTTTTAATTAAAAGAGAAATTTTTCTAATATAGACCTAGGAAAACTTTGAGAAAAAGAAAGGAGTCTGTACCTAGACAAGCCTGCTCTGACCACCTGAAAAATCATATATAAAGTGACCCTCATGACAATGTACCTGTTCTCTGTTTTAATTCATGTTAACTACACTTTTTAAAGGGGTAAAAATGTTAAAGTTGAGCTAAAATAGTTGAGTATATTGAAAACAAGGTTCTAAACACTCATATTTAAAATCTGGTTCTAAGGTGAATGAATTTTTTAAAAATTAAGGACAATGCAAAAGGAAAAATTAAAATAATGTTACCATTTATTGTTATTGGTACTTTATTATACATTTTTATTCTGACTAAAATGCCAGCTTCTGTTTATTCATTTTTTGCACTCTTGTTTTCAAAATGAGTTTGAGGTCATTACCATAAAGTGCATATACACAATAAAAGTAATAAATGGTAGATCAAAAATATAATCTTCCAGGGGCTTCCCTAGTGGCGCACTGGTTAAGAATCCGCCTGCCAATGCAGGGGACACGGGTTCAAGCCCTGGTCCGGGAAGATCCCATGTGCCGCGGAGCAATTAAGCCTGTGCGCCACAACTACTGAGCCTGCACTCTAGAGCCCGTGAGCCACAACTACTGAAGCCCGCACACCTAGAGCCCATGCTCCCCGACAAGAGAAGCCACCGCGATGAGAAGCCCGCGCACGGCAACGAAGAGTAGCCGCCGCTCGACGCAGCTAGAGAAAGCCCGCGCACAGCCATAAAGACCCAACACAGCCAGAAATAAAATAAAATAAATTTGAAAATATACATATAATCTTCCAGAGTAGGAGAATGCAGAGACTGGCCAAGTTGCCAGGACTCAGCCTCACATGTGGTCACGGCACTGGCTTCAGGTTTAAAAGCAGAGGAGTGTGTATAAGATGCCCACTGGGTCCTGCACTGGCCTCGCTTTATTGACTAATTATTAGACAAGGACAGAACCGTGACTTCCTGCAGCTTATAGGCTTCACCTCCGCAAATCTCACAAACATGTGCATCATCACACATCACACCTCATTCTCATTCACAGCTAAGGACAGTCAGCAGACGTAAGCCCAGGGCCCCCTCTTCACAGGTTTCCCTTTTCTAACAGGAAGAGGGAAAGAGAGGGCCTCAGACTCGGTTGTCACTAACCTGGTTTGTGACCTGGACAATTTACGTGGCTTTTCTGGAGTCCTATTTCTCTCTAAAGATAAAAAGCTGAATAAGGGCATCCCTAATTTCATCCTTCGGCTCTGAAAGTCATGTTTTATCAAGTATGTCTTGGCACACAAGACGTATAAAAGACACCTTCACTAGTAAATTACTCCTTTTCTTACAAAGTTTCCTAACCAACCACTTTCTATGTCTCTCTACCCACCTCACTTAGGGGATGACATAATTTTAACGTATTGGCTCAGGCTATAAACAGAAAGACCGAAGTCCAAGTTTCCTGATATACTTCTGAGCTTCAAGCAGGAGGCACAGTTAGCACTGATGCAAGTATGTAAAGCATCATTTATGGCAATCAGCATTACTTGGTAAGTATTTAAAACTAAGTAAAACTCAAGTATCATTTCAAGAAAATTTGTCAACCCAACTTATTTACTGACAGAGAAAAAACTAAACGCTAAAGGAAAAATTAGAAAAAGATAAAAGGATAATGGCAACTTAAAATTCCCCATCCCCTTTAATAGTCTCTTTATTCAAAATTTTAAAAATCAAGTATCTGGCAATTGTAGACAGGCTGCATGACCACACAAATAATGATCAGACAGCACTTTTTTTTTTTTTTTTTTTTTTTTGCGGTACCTGGGCCTCTCACTGTCGTGGCCTCTCCCGTTGCGGAGCACAGGCTCCGGACGCGCAGGCTCAGCGGCCATGGCTCACGGGCCCAGCCGCTCCGCGGCATGTGGGATCCTCCCGGACCGGGGCACGAACCCGTGTCCCCTGCATCGGCAGGCGGACTCTCAACCACTGCGCCACCAGGGAACCCAGACAGCACATTTTAATTGTAGGATGGGACTAAGATGGAGCCGCCTGACTGCCTGGCAGATCTGCCCTGACCTTTCACATTTCCCTCCTCCTGGGGTCTCACAAAAGGACTTGGGAGGCCAACAGATGATCATAAATCCCAGGTGCATCCTCTCTGATTCTTCCAACAACCCTGGAAGGTAGGAAGGAGCCCCTTCCTGACTGTGGCAGATTAGGGACAAGACTCAGAAAGATGAAGTGATTTGCTCAAGGCCACACAAGCCAGGAAGTACCAGAGCTGGGGTCAGAACCCAGAATCTGTCTAAGTCTAAAAAGCACATCTTCTCTCTGCTACTTTATGGTTAGCTCTCAATTAATGTAAGCATTCCTCTGGATGCGCTGAACCACTGCCAAAATAATAACAACAACGACATCAAAATCATTAATAATCATGGACTCAAAACTCATCTTCGAGTAAGATCTGACAAGACTTCTCCATTAATGAGGAGGATTCTGCCCCCCTCCCCAAACCAAAACCAAACAAACAGAAACCACACTCCACAATACACTCTTGCTTAGTTTAGTGACAAGCTCTCACTCTAATTCCAAGACCCACAATAGATGTGGGACTAGACAACTGGTGAGGAGTGGGGCCCAGGCACCCGCCGCCTAAGCCCGGCCCCCATCCATGTCACATGGCAGCTCCAGTCCCATCAAGAAGGGGAGGTCAGAATATGGGCACATATGTATATGTATAACTGATTCACTTTGTTATAAAGCAGAAACTAACACAGCATTGTAAAGCAATTATACCCCAATAAAGATGTTAAAAAAAAAAAAAGAAGGGGAGGTCAGGAAGGTCAAACAGTGAGATGCTCCAGAGTCAGAGCAAGGTGAGTGGAGGGTCTGTCTGTCCAGGCAGACCGCAGGGCAGGTGGTCAGTGCCACCTTACAGGCAAGAGCACAGCAAAGTTGGACACTTCACCCATCCAGTGAAGGCAAGGTTATCAGACTAAAGGTGATTATACCATGAGGGGTTAACTGAGTTCATGCCAATTACTTCTGCAGCCTTTCCTACATTTCTCGTCAGGTCAAGATCATTCAGTCATAGTAAACTGTTCAAAATTAATATGAACAGCTGGCTTCTCTTGCGTTACAAAGGGAATATTTGGCTTTATTTAGAGTACTAACTTCTCTTTTTTGTCACTTTCACCCACAGAACCTACCTGTATTCTGGATATGCTCTTAACACATACCTCCAAAACCACCTTCCAGTCCCCGAGGAGGGCAGCCACCTCTGTCCCTGCAGTGTCACCCCAGCTGATGGTCCACCCTCCTTCTCCTGTTGGATTACTCAAAGTCAGGCCCATCCACTGGACCACAGCCTTTATTGGATAGAACGTCACATTCTTTCACACTGCTCTCTGTCAGAAATATTTCATAACTACTATGCATTCCATAAATACTAGTGATTCTAGAAAAGAGCAATGCTGCAACAGGCTGTCGCCCTCAGGACCCTTTCAGCTTCTTTCCAGGCCGTCAGTTCCTCACCTGCCTTCTCCTCTCTGCCCCTCAGGGTGACGTCAGAGACTCCTGTGCTGGACCCTTCTTGCCATGAGATGCAGGAACCGCAGCCATCTCCTTGGCTCTCCGCTCCCATTGGAGGCCAACCTGGCTCCTCACCTGGTCCAGAACTTCACCTCTGAGGTTCTCTCTGCCCCAGACGATGCTACTCTCCCTCCCTGGATCATCCCCACTGGTGACCGGGCATACTTTACCGCCACCTTCCTGAAACCCTGCTCCCCACACCCCCGCTGGCTCCAGCTCACCCCCTCCTCCCCCCTCCCTTCCACACCATTCCCTCTGCAAAGCCGTGACTCTAGCTGGGACCTCCACTGCCCAGCTCTCACTTTCTCCTCCATCCACTCCAGGTGGGCCTCATTCCCCTAGAACATTCTCAGCCACCAACATCTTGGCAAAGCCAACAGTCGACTGGCTGTCTCCTCTTACTCAACACTGCTCTCAGGGCATCCAGGACACATGCGCCCCCAGTTACCCTCCCAGGTCACTGGCCACCATTCCTCAGCATCTCTGGCTGGCCCTCTCCATCTGACCATCAGCAGATGGCCCTCTTCTCTCTGACACACTCTCCCTCCCCAGGTGATCCCACCCAGCCCTGTGGCTTTAAACACAATCGCTCAGCACATCAATGGCCCTCACACGTTTATCTCTAGTCCGAACCTCTCCCATCCTATTCCTATTCCCATGCTCTGTCCTTCCTTCACCTCTTCAAATCTACCTGGCCCGACACCAAGGGCATCAGCTCTTGTCATCTTCCTAATTTCTAGCAACCTTCAGCAAATCAAAAGAGGAAGTAGATGGCAGAAAGGTGGGAAGGCCTAAGAGAAGACCAGCACTGATTGTAAAGACAAGATTACAACCTTCAAGACAAAGCTAAGAAGGAAATTTTCTAATTAAATTTTTAGAAATTTAAAGTTAGTTTAATTTTACTCTTGAAATTCTGTGATTAAAACTAATTTGCTGTAAAATCTAATTCATTTCTTGCATTTGCAGTGTTTTAATAAAAAAGACTTACCCTAAACAGTAACCCTGCCAAGCTCTGGGCAAACAAGTCCTTTATTTGTTTATCCTTTGGCTTCTGCATGACAGCTTCTGTTATCCTGAGTAGTATTTGCAACATCTGTTCCCTGGGCCACCCAAAATAAAAGCTCATATTATTAATCACATCTCCAAAGCACTTACATTTATAGGTACATGAAATTCCCTTAAGGATTCAGCAAAATTGATATTCACATATCATTCAGAAGTATCTCAATGCCCATTACATAATGAATACCATACTTATCAAAATAAGCTAGCTTATGTTACCACAGTTCTAAAAATATGCCTCTTGTGCCCACATCAGTAGACAGGACAACCCAGGTCTCATCCCAGCTTGACCTCCCCACCCCGTTGTAAAAATGGAGGCGACGCGTTTTCTCCACCTGTGCCAGCACCTACGGCACACGGGGAGAACTGTGCCTACTGAACTTACGCAGCACTCTCAAACTTTCACATCCATTATTTTACTTAAACTGAGCGGCCTCCCTATCTCTCTGTGTGACAGTAAACAACATGGACTTTCTGGTCCTCGTCCTGGGGAGGTCTTCTGTCGGCAGTGGCGGGTGGCCGCGCTCCACAGCACTCCCACAGGTAGGAGGGCTGGGAAAGGTCACCACTGGACGCTTAGGGTACGGAGCTTTGTGCCTGGAAGATCCTGACGCTGCAAACAGGGCGCCCCTCGGAACCGCGGTCACAACGTCTCCATCACAGCACTCCTCGGACCGTGTTTTGTTTTTTTTTTTTTTTTTTTGGCTGTGTTAGGTCTTCGTTACTGCGTGTGGGCTTTCTCTATTTGTGGCGAGCAGGGGCTACTCTTCGTTGCGGTCCGCGGGCTTCTCATTGAGGTGGCTTCTCTTGTTGCAGAGCACAAGTCTAGGCGCACAGGCTTAGGTAGCTGTGGCACGTGGGCTCAGTAGTTGTGGCGCACGGGCTTAGTTGCTCCCCGGCATATGGGATCTTCCCGGACCAGGGCTCGAACCTGTGTCCCCTGCATTGGCAGGCGGATTCTTAACCACTGCGCCACCAGGGAAGTCCCGGAGATGGCATTTTATGTAAAAAGTCTTTAAAGAGTATAAAACACTAGAGACACAAAATAGCACCGCTAATCGTGATGATGATGGTAAGTTCTCTAGCACAGCCAAAGGGCATTCTTCTCTCTCACAGCTGAGTTACATTCTTCATATCTTCCCCCAGATGCCATGGAAACGGAGAACACATTATTTTCTGTTAATGGAGGGAAATCACCCCGGTCCCTTTAACTACTTCGAGGTCTTGAGCACAAACCGTTCGTTCATCTCTGTAACTTCCTCCTTGGCCTGGCTCTTCAGTGATAAAACCAAGTGGACAAAGTAATCTGGTCCAGGTCGGATAATGAGATCTCAAATCATGGTTCCTTTATAGTTTTCTCACATTTCTGAGAACAATGTTTTCTCTTAACACGATGCTGGATCTCATTAAACTTCTCCAGGGTCTCCTGCCCTCCTCATGGCTGACCCTGTCCGACTTCTGTCCTGGTTTCTGCAGGTGCCCGTTCCCACTGTGCTCTGCTCTGCCTGCCCGCCCGGCCCCCTACCCACGGACCCTGCAGGCTCAGGACTAGAGGATCGGGGCACGCATGCCTGGAGCAGCTGGCAACTTTGAGGAGGATGAGGGGAGAAATGGCCCAGGGCTGGGACAGCCTGCGCTCGCCCCGGCCAGCGTCCCCCGGGCCCTGTCACAGGGGGAAGGGAGGGCTACACCCAGGGTCGCCTCTGCTGCGCACCTTGTGTGATGCTCAAGACAAGGAAAAACAGCCCCTTCCACACCCATCGTGCGAAGGTGAGAACAAGAAACGTAGTAACTTTCAGCTAAAACCTCAGTCATGGGAACTGTTAGCAAAAATGCAGACCTGATGGAGGCAAAGACCGACACAGACACAGGGTTAAACAGGGTAGGTTTAACTTCTGAACCTAAGAAAGCTTGGGAACCACAACATTCCCACACGGAGTCTTCTGGAAGAGAATGGGGGTGGAAAACTACCTCCAGTTTGGAAAAATCTTTGCTAACAGTTCTGACCTCTGCTTGTTCCTTTGTGTTTTGAGAAACATTAACTCTGGTCACTCCTCTCAAAGGGGACCTGCCTGAAGAGCGAGCCCAGGACGGCCCATGTGTGCTGCCCGAGTGGCGGAGGAGCGGTTCTTGCTGCCTCTTTGTTCTCTACTTTGCCCCCATCTCCTTGCACACCTACTCACTAACACCGGCTATCCCCTCTTTGGGGGCCACTACTCGGCACCTGCCGGGCTACAGCCTGCTCTCAGCCACCGTCATCCACCGCCACAGAGTCTGCGCTCCAGGCACTGTCTCTCTCCACGCGGCAGCCAGAGATCTTTTGGAAACATAAATCGGGTCGTGTCACACTCTCGCGCACAAGCAGAGGTAGCGGGGACCTTCCTGCAGCCCGCGGGGCCCTGTGCCCCCTGGCCTGGGGTGCCCCCCACTGCACTGGCCGCCATCTCGTCCTGCCCGGAACCCAGCAGCTGTGACCTGCAGTTCCTCCTCGTGGGGATGCTCTTCCCTCTGGGCTCTGCTCAGAGAGGCCTTCCCACCCTCCACACTGCCCCCCACAACCAGCTCCACGGTTCTTAGCGCTGAACCCCACCTGACCCCACTTTTGTGTTCATCGCGTCTCTCAGGCCTATGAGGACGGATGCCTCGGGAGGGCAGGGACCCTGTCAGTCTAGTTTACCCTCTGTCCTCACAGTAGAAGCTCCCTAGTTATTTACCAGATGAAAGAAGGGAGGGAGGGAGGGAGGGAATTCACTGATCGTCCGGTACTTCAATACACAGGAAAATCTGCTAGGGAAATAGATCACATCCCTGGTCTATGCTCTACTGACTTCAGTTTTTTTTTCTTTCGGTGAGTATTTTCATCTATTCCTATATTTTGATTTTTTAATAGTTTTACCTGGAAATCTCTGAATTATTAAAGAAACAGAGAAGCATTGTTTAATTTTATTTCCTAGAATTTTCACCCCAAAAAAGATTATCAAAAATATCAAAATATTACTGATACACTGGTATACAGAATTCATAGAGTTTTCAAAGGAAAAAAAAAAGCATCAAAAACACTTGATACAACTGGTATGTGGAGCAGATATTTCAGTTGAAAGCTTCCAGCATTTCTCATTGCTTTCAACATTACTGACACAGCTTTTAACTTTGTTTAAATTGCCTTGTTCATCCCTGTGACGCTTTAGCAACAGCTTCTCGGCAAATAGTGCTAACTTTAAAAGTCTGGGAAAGATGACACCGGAAGGTACAGCTTCAAGTGACCATTTTGACATCTGCGGTTCCTGTATTTGTGCACCTTCTGCCCGCCGGCTTCCTCTGGGCCCGCTCCCCCTCATCTGAGAAAGAAAAGGGCTGGATGCAAGGCCCTGGAGGCCCTGCGGGCTCAGTCCCATCTCACCCCCACGGCTCCCTGAGCAACGGCTCCAGCCTCCAGAGCACAGGCCTGGGAACAGGGACCCCGAGCATTTCCGGGAGGCAAGTGTCACCAGCCCGGGTCTGAAGGTGCTGACCACTGCCAGGCAGGTAGGGAGGGTGCTCCCTGGGCGGGAGGAACCAGCAAGGACCAGCCTGGACAAGTAGAAGGGAGAGGCTGCCCCCCACCCCCCAAACCTTAGGAGCTGGAGGGATGTGCAGACACTCATCACGGGAAACTCTAATGCACTGCTTACCTCTGGGACATTATAAACACAAAGACACCAAACAAAAATGAACGACCAGGAGGAAAACACTTCACATACGTGTATTTTAATGACACCACTATATTTTTCACTGCACTCTGACAATTTATCACTTAAAATAACTGTTTTTTCTGAAATGAATTTAAAACTTCAAGTTTAAACTTCAAGTTTAAAACAATCAAATCAGTTAAAAGTATTCTGGAGCAATTAACCAACCCTCCTGGGATTATGAAGAATGATATTATGAAACGTCAGTTACTGCTTTTCCACAAACTGCTTGACGACAGTTTAAAATGGAAAAATCTACTATTAAGTAATATGACTACTTACTCTTAATTTGGGAACTTTTTTGTTTGTTTGTTTGTTTTGTTTTGTTTTGTTTTTGTTTGTTTTTTGCAGTACGCGGACACGCAGGCTCAGCGGCCATGGCTCACAGGCCCAGCCGCTCCGCAGCATGTGGGATCCTCCCGGACCGGGGCACGAACCCGCGTCCCCTGCATCAGCAGGCGGACTCCCAACCACTGCTCCACCAGGGAAGCCCCCTGGGAACTTTTTTTAAAACCAATAATGAAAATAAATGAACTGTCAAAGTACTGGATACTTACCTTCATAATTCTGTTACAAAAGACTGATTATCATCTCATCGTTCACTTTGTAGGGCTATTTAATAAACGGAGGCTTTAGCATTTTAATTATTTCGTTGAAAACAGAAACATCTGTTTTACAATGTTAATTAACTGAAAAGATACTCACCATGTCTTTTTATTCATTGTAAGCTCCATTATCATGCGCCTAAAAATAATCAGAACAGCTTTACACGCATCAACTTGCTCCTTCAAGAGCATGGGAACTTCCACACACGGTTCCAGCAAGAAGACGTTTGCAGCGTTTGTCAAAAATACCTTAGAATCAACACATTTTACATGAGAAGATATAATTAAACAGATAAACTCGAACAAATTTTGTTTAAAGGGAATGATATTAATTTCACCTTTGAGCTATTTCAATAAGACAAGTGGTACCAACACATACTCAAATTTATTCTAGTTCACCCCTTAGAATTACTTAAATACTGATCCTTGAAAGATCTTTTCTAGAAAAATAATTGCTATTACATATTAATATTGCAGATTTGGAAATTTATGAATCAAAAAGGCTTCTGCAGATTTCTTTTTGACACCCCCTCAAAAATTTTTTAAAAAGATAAGACAGGATCATTGCCTGTGGGTGAGGAACCTTGGGGGGCCAGCAGAGAGGGTAGGGGCCCTGAGTCAGACAGCGGCTGGAAAGAACGACCTGGCTCTTGTTGAGTCTCCAGCTTTGCTGACATGAAGGCCTTGCTGACAGGAGGCAGCCAGTACCACCCAAAGGGCAGCCAGCAAAGGGGCAAAGGCGTGTGGCCAACACTGCACACCTTCCAGGAGCATGGGTTCTCGATATGAGAGATACAATATGCAGCAGAACACAAAACCTAAGGAAATTCTTAGGATAAAAACTGAGATTTCCAACAAAATTTAGAAAGTACGCCAACTGCTCTACACTCTGCCTTTAGGATACAAGTCCCCTGTCCTGTACCATCCTTAGAGAATTGTGCGGAGCACGGATCCAGGCTGCCCGGGGGCACTGCTGCGGCATAACAACGTGTCATTATTTACACAGAGTCAGGGCATTCTGAGCTGTCAACCCGGTGCCAAGGGTGGAGCTTCTCCACCTTCTAGACCTACAGTCCCTCTTAGTTCTCCTCTCCATTCAACAGCACAGACACCAATGATCTGGGGACAAACAGAGCTGGCTCACTTGTGGATGAAATCCATTAACACAGCATCTCAAAACAGATGCACAAACTGACCAGAGGAACTGAAATGAGCACACTCAAAAGTCAAGTGGGCGAACTAAAAGGCTGACAGCCTCTGAGATAATTTTATGCAAGATTAAAAATGTATCGTGTCCCAATTTTCTAGGAAGAATCACAAGATCAGCTCTATAATAGTTGATAACAGATGATAACGGCACTTGTGAAGATTTACTAAGCTTCGAGTAAGAAAAATGAAAATAAAGAACCTTTTGACTAGCGAACTATAGCTTTAGTGACTATGTCTTTTAAAGAAGTATGCCATAGATGATATACTACAATACAGATTCTTTTTAATTCAATGTACTTGGCTCCTTGATTTAATTTTAAACCTTTGCATACTCCAAAGTAAAAGTGAGGAGTCTTCATATATTATATTTCTTTCATTTTACTTTCAAAACAACATCAAAAATGTTGACTCCATGACTACTTATTACCCTGCTAGTATCAGGATAAAAATAAATCAACAAAATGAATATGTCCAAACTGTACCTGTCAGAAGCAACTATAAAACACTACTATCTTATCAAACCTTCATTTGGCCACATTTTCCTCATTAACCAAATCAAGGACCAAGGTACTCGATAAAATGAGAACAAAAACAGCTATCTAAATCCAAACAAAATATTTTTTAAAACTGTAGAGCTATAATCAAGTAGAAATTTTTTTTCTTGGCTCAGCCAAGGGGATTAAGTTCTCCTTCTAGAGAATAAATAACTCACCTGAACTCAGGGAAATAACAGGCACCCGCAACCCCCACTGGCCGACTACGGGATGCTCTGCGGGGAGGGGGCGGGGCGGGGACTCCTGCAACCATTGCTCTGGTGGGCACACAGGTGACATTTAGGAGCTGCGCCAAAATTCTCTGAAGCTATTCAAGTAAAATCATCTTGAGTTTTTTAAAGCTAATATCATTTGCTGATTTTCAAATTATTTGCTGATTTTCAATGAAAAATGAGAAAATTCATTAATTACAGTATATTAAACTGCCAATTAATTTAAAAACAAAAAGGATCCCACGATAAGGAATCCTCTCAAGAGACAGATGACAGAAACACGGTATCACTGAAAACTGGGTACCATGCCTTCCTGCCCCAGACCCTACGCCCAGCCTCTGTGTGGGATGCCTAACTGGACACAAAGGAACGTGGATATGGATATGGGGTGGAGGGTGGGGTGCCAGGGATCAGGGGAAAGAGAGGGACCCTGTGTTTTCACTTATACTTCTAACAACCTTCACACTGGGTGCAACCCAAGAGGTAATCTTTTTTTTTGAGATAAATCTCCATTTCTGAGATAAAATCCTGAGATCTGGGGAGACTGAGTGATAAGCCAAAGCTGCTTTTCCCAATGCTCCCAAATGGTATTTCATATATTCATTCAGATAAATATCTAAAAATTACTGCATTAATCGTCATTCTTCATAAACATAGGCAAGTTTTAAGAGGAATACTACTTATAAGATTATATAATCGCCAAGTTTGTCTTACAAATTAGAATCCAGGTAACTCACTACCCACATGTGTTCAGAATGTGGCACAAATATACAATGGAATATTACTCAGCCGTAAAAAGAAAAGAAATTGAGTTATTTGTAGTGAGGTGGATGGACCCAGAGTCTGTCATACAGAGTGAAGTCAGTCAGAAAGAGAAAAACAAATACCGTATGCTAACACATATACATGGAATCT